CTGTGGTATATTCACACAATGGAATACTATGCTGCATTGAAGAAGAAGGAACTCATTCAATATTCAAAATGGGTGAGCCTGGAAGACATTATGCTGAGTGAAATATCTCAGTCACAAAAGGACAAATATTGTATGGTGCCACTGCTGTAAAATGGGGCTGATATCAGGGTGGGGGAAGACTGAGAAAAACTGGATAAATTGTGTATACTGCATTGAAACAGATGAGGGACTGAATAATTTAAAAGCGATGTATGATAGGGTATTATGGTTATCACAAAAGTCCACAATTAAGGTTGCATAGTGGAATGTACTTGGGGTGGTGGGAGCGGTGCGGGGGGATTGTGTACCAGGGAGGGAGTCTTTCTTTTACTTTTGAAAGAGAGGAGCGAACTGGGGGGCGGGGGGAGAGGGCTGGCCGGGTAGGGAAGTGCAGCAATGAATGAATGGAAATCCAAATTCTCTGTAAATGTTCATTAAAATTATTTAAAAAATTTGACAAACTATGTGTGAGTCAGCTTACATACTCTCTATTGTGTTTCATCACATGCTGACCACATATATGCAAAGTAGTACGTCTCCATAGTTTTCAAAACTGACTCTCTGGTACCAAATGTCTCTTCTAATATATCTCTGGTTGGGACTCAATGACAGGTCTGTGGTATACATCTACTTATCTGTCTTGCTATCAAGATTATGCTGTCTTGGCTATTGTAACCACTTAATAAATCTTGTAATCTGATAGAAAACAAAACAAAACAAAAACCAAAAAATAGTTTATTCTTGCAATAACGTAAAATATTTTACAAATTATAAAGATGGATTCATATTTGTCATTGCTGTTCTTGTTATGTGCCATAGACTCATAGCAACCCTAAGCACAAATGAATCCTGCTCTATCCCATCTATCCCAAGGTGATCTCATTGTCTCTAACACACCTACTCTCATAACTCCGGTTACTGTGTCAGTCTATCTCATCTGTGATCTTCCTCTCCTTCTCTGTCCCTCCGTCCTTCAAAAAATATGTACTTCTCCAAGGACTGGTCCTTTCTGACAACATGCTCAAAGCATGTGAGACAGTGCCTCAAAATCCTTGACTTTAAAGAACAGCTTGACTTTACCCTTTCCAGGACAAAACTGGTTGTTCTCTTGGCAGTCCATGTTCAACACTCCTATCGAGCATCACAACTCAATTCTTCTGCCATCTTTGGTCATTGTCCAGCTTTCTGATACATAGCAAGTAATTGAGAAGACCAGGACCTGGATCTGGTGCACCTTAGCCTTTAGACTGACATTGTATCTCCTTAGCATTTTGGAAAGGACTCTTACAACAGATATTTTTAATGCAATTTTTCTTTTGATTTCCTGACTGCTGGTGCCAGGAGTATTGATTGTGGAACTGAGCATGCTAAATTTGTTAACAATCTCATTTTCTTCTCCATCTATCTTGATGTTCCCAATTGGCTCAGTGGTGAGAATCTTTGTCTTCTTAATTTTGAGCTTCAATCCTTGACCCTCTGCAGAAAATACTTCAGCTCCTGATCAGTTTGAGCAAGCAAAATTATTTTATCTAAATAATGTCAGTTAATGAGTCTTTCTCTAATCCTGATGCTATATCTCACTTCATTAAATCCAGCTTCCTGAATTATCTGTTCCACATATAAATTGAAAAGGTATGGAGACAGGATGAATCCCTGAAATAGTCTTTGCCTGATTTTGAACCATGCATTGTTTCCTCACTTTGTTCTGATGTCTGCCTCCTGGTCCGAGTATAAGTTTCACATAAGCACAATCAAGTGTTCTGGGATTCCCATTCTTCTCAATGTTAGCCATACTTTGTTGCGACTCACACAGTCAAAAAGCCTTTGCATGATCAGTGAAACACAGACAGACATTCCTCTATTATTCTCTGCTTTCACCCAAAATCCATGTGACATTTGCAATAATATCCTTAGTGTCACTGTCTCTTCTAAACCTGACTTGTATTCTGGTAGATCTCTGTCAAGGTGGTTTCCCTGTAATTTTTATTTTTATGATTTTCAGTGGGATTTTTCAGGTATGTAATATTAGTGATATCATTCGATAATTTCCACATTTCTTTGGATCACCTATCTTTGTAATAAGTATAAACATGGATCTCTTAAAGTCTGTTGGCCTGGTGGTTGTCCTCCCAATTTCTTGGCACAGCCTGGTGAACATTTGGCATTAGATATCCATGTTAACTAAATCTAACCTCACAGTGAGAAAATAATCATACATGTGAAGGTTGAATACAATAATTTTAAGCTATCTCACATTTCTAAATGTATACTTTCTAAATTATATGAAATTTAAGAACAAAAAGAACAACAACTTCTTGTTATTAGGTGCCACCCAGTCAATTCAGATTCTTAGCTAACCTCTGCTTTCCCGATCATAATGTCTTTCCAAGGACTAGCACCTTGTCCTAATTAGGTGAGAGGAAGTTTCACCATCCGTGTTTTTAAGGATCACAATGACTAAACTTTCCCCAAGACAGATTTGTTTATTCTTTTGCCAGTTCATCGTATATTCAAAACTCTCAGACAACAATACATTTCAAATACATCATTTTTTTTCTTGAGTGTTCTTTATTCACTGTGCAACTTTCACAAGTATATAAAGTAACTGATAATGCCATGACTAGGGTCAGTCATGCCTTGGTTTTTAAACTGCAAATTTGCCTAATGGAGCATGTTCTTTGATTTCTTGGTTACTGCTTCTATGTGTCTTGATTGTGGATCCAACTAAAATTAAGTCACTGATGATCTTTTATCCATTTATCACATATCGTTTAGTGGTCTAGTGGTGAAGATCTTGTTTTCTTGATGTTGAGAAAGAATCCACATTGAAGAAGTATTTCAAGCTTTCTTTACATTCTATATGCAAGTTTGTGTCTTCTACACACCTGCATAAGGTATGTTGTTAATGAATCTCCCTCCAGTTATGATTACATTTTTATGTGTATAGTCCAGCGTCTTGAATTATTTGCTCAGGAAGACAAAGTAGTTTGTTATTATGTGCCGTCAAATTGCCTGTGCCTTATAGCGATCCTATGTACAGAGCTCTGAACCCTGCTCTATCCTGAGCCAACTGTACTGTCTCCAATCCATACATCTCATCAAAAATCTTCATTTCCTGTGCTGTATCTCCACCCTTTCAAGTATAATGTCCCCCTCCAAGGACTATTCACTACTTGCAACAACCTCAAAGTATGTCAGACAAAGCAGCCTGACTGTTTTCACCCTCTACAGGATGAACCTGTTTGTTTTCCTAAGAAATCCATGATGCATTCAACACTCTTCCAATACCACATCATTTCTCTTTCTATCATCCCTAGTCATTGTCCAGCTTTCTGAAGCATAACACATAATTGCAAAGACCATGGCCTGGATCAGGTGTGCTTTAGTCTCCAGACTGACATTATTGCTCTTCAGTTATCTGGAAATGTCCTTAAAAGCAGATTTTCCTAACACAATTAATCTTTTGATTTCCTGGTCGCTGGTACTAAAAATGTTGATTGTGGAGCCAAGCAAACTAAAGCTGTTAACAATCTCAATTTCTTCACTGTCTCATGATGTTGCTAATCGGCAGAGTGGTGAGAATCTTTGTGTTTTTGATGATCAGCTTCAATCCATATTGAAGACTGCAGGTCTTAACTTTCTGTAGCAATTGCTTCAGGTTCTCCTCAGTTTCAGCAAGCAGGGTTGTGTCATCTGCATAATGTAAGTGGTTGATGAGTCTTCCTCCAATCCTGATGCCACATTCCTCCCCAGACTCTCAGATGATCTGTTCAGCATATAAATTGAAAATGTATGGAAATAGGACACATTCCTGGAATACGCTCGTCTCAAATTTTTTTTTAAAGGTTGGGAAATACTTATTTTCTTTAAACAAGGTCATAAATAACAAAGAAACAAATTGGGTCCCTGACTCTGGACAGTGCAGCAGGACAGGGATAGGAGGTTGTTGGGTGGAAAGATGAAGGGGCCTATACATCATCTAAGACAGTCACAGAGAAGATGGGCTTCAGGAGACTGCTTCTCTTGCCCTTGGAAAAGGCGTGCCTAGCAGTAGGGAGTGGCTGCAGTGCCATAGTGAGGCAGCTGGAAGGGGAAGGAATGGGGCTATGGATTGTACTGTTTCTATGAAGAGTGACAGGAAAACACAAATAGCAAAGAGAAGCTCTGGGTCTAGAAAAGGCAAATGGGCATTTTGTTTATTTCCAAGGACCAATGATGAAAATGATCAACTTTGAGTTTTAAAAACAATTCCACGGGCTGTGGCTTTGTGCATGGGCTGTATTTAACCTGGGTCACTCTGTGGCAGATGAGGCCTCAAGAGTCCCCTGGAGCAGCCTGGCTTCAGCCCAGGAGGCACCCATACATGTGGGAATGGGGGAATGGGGTCTCCTCAGATAGGAGGCCATGTGCTTGGACTGGCTGGACTCAATTTTCAGCCTGGTATCTTGCAATGCTATCCATTACCACTCCCTGGACTTAAGAACAGGATTCTGGTGTTTGGGTCTCTCAGCCCTGAAAAAGTATGAGTGACATAAAAAGGTACCTGATTGATGTTTTCTTTGTAATGGAAAATAAGGATCACCCTATGCATGGTTCATCCCAAGAGGTAGGGCAGGACAATGCCAAGAATAATCTCAAGGAATGCATATGTCACCTGATATCTGGTAAAGGGGCCCAGGGGCAGCTTCACCCCAGGAAGGCAGGGGTTACTCTGTACAAGAAGAGGGTAGGAGCTGGGGAACCCTGGACTCAGGAGATCGAGGTTGGTCAAGGATCCTAGAAAATAATGCTTTTGACAGGAAGAAATAAAAGGGTTTGTGTGTCTGGGGATGCCCATTCTACAAGGAGCTGGTGTCACATGGCCAGGCGGAATGGTGAGGAGACAGTGGTATCACAGTGACCTCTGGTGCGATGTATTTGTAACAGAGCTCAATGCTGAGGGAGGGATGGAGAGCAGGTCACTAACATCCATGAAACACGCACTGGAATCCACCGATGGGTTCTGCAAATCTGTGCCGGATCAAGAAAGTGGCAACAGCTTCAGCTACCTTATCAGGGGCATCCTCATGGACTGCATGGCCACACTGAGGTAGGACTTGCATCTGAAACTTCCCTTGCATTTAGCCAATTGTCAGATCTTTATCGAGCCTATCAACACCAGCCAAGAGTAGCAATTTAGGAATAGAACAAATGAGAAAGAGATTGGGTAGGCCTCGGAACCAGCCATCCCAGTATTTTTCTGTTTTTGCCAGTTCAGTTCTCCAGGTGTATGGATGGTCCTTCTTGGTCTCCATGTCATCTTCCTTTTGCCTCTTATTTACCGACTCACTTCCTTCTTCATCTTCTTCTTCCTCTTCTATGATTCATTCCACTATAGATTTTGAACCTTCTGAACTTGTAATTCTTTCACACTGTTTGACTTGGCCAACCATTGAAACACGGGCAGACTCCAGATTGTGAATCTGTCCACTCTTTACACTCCATTCAATGGCATTCTCCAGTGAGTTGAAGGTTTTAGGACGACCACATAAGAAATTCTGCATGCTGTTAAGGGCATCCATGGCTGTACCTTCTACAACATCAGACATACACAGACCTAGAAGGCTTGGCACCAGGTTGAATGATGCTGTATGGACTGCAATAGCATCACTCATGCTATGGCCAATTAGCATAATTGGAGGAGGGAGATCACCACCATACATGGCTTCAACCACATTGCCGACATCTTTTGCCATTGTTTCTGCTGATAGGTCTTCAGGATTCTTGACCTTTGTTTCACCATGACTTCGAAGATCCAAAGCCACTATTCTACATTGAACTCTACTAATGATTGCTGCTGTGAACACAGCCCAGGAAAGGGCAGAATGGCCTCCACCGTGCAGGAGGAGTAGGACTGGACCTTCTGAACCACTCTTGTAAACACGAAAGGCATCTTTGCCAGTTTCATTCTCTACTTCTACATCTTCCATGGATTCAAAGTATTGACTCCAAGAAACAGGGGGAAAGTCCCACTTTCTTCCAGGGCCCATTCGCATCTTGGTTCCGCTCTGACTGCCCCCGCTGCCTGGCAGGGGAGGGCGAGAGGGCAGGCGGCCGAGGTGCATGCTCTTCTCGAGGGCCAACACGAAAGGGAGGCCGCACTCAGACAAACAGCAGCCGAAGCTTCGTCTCACGCTAATTGTGGCTCAACTGGTCCCCTCGTCTCAATTTTAAACCACGAAGAGTTGCCTTGCTCTATTCTGATCACTGCCTCCTGACCTAAGTATAGGTTTCACATAAACACAAATGTTCTGGGATTTCCATTCTTCTTAGAGTTAGCCAGTTTGTTGTGATCCACAAAGTCAAATGCCTTTGCATAGTCAATGAAACACAGATAGACATTCCTCTGGTATCCCAAATTTCACTACCTCTTCTAAACCCAGCCTGCGTATCTGGCAGTTCTCTGTTGATGTGCTGCTGTTCTAGTTGGTTTTGAATCTTTTTCAGCTGAATCTTGCTTGTATGTGATATTAATGATATTGTTTGATAATTCCTGCACTCTGTTAGGAATATATGATTGATGGCTAAATATAATAAATAAAACTTTTGCTCACAAAAAATACTGTATGTTTAAATTAAATTTACTTTTGTTAATTCAAGCTCTTAATGGTTTCTAGATTTTGCTGTAATAATTTTTACTTTTTACTCTTTGTGTTTGTCTTATGGAATATTAACTCATTATAATTTCCTCTTTAATATTTGTATTCATATTTATATAGTTTGATATTTAAACCCATTTTAATCAGAGTTGAAGAATAAGGAAAATGATGCAGGCTGAATATTGGGCAGCAGCATAATAAAGAAAACACTTGCAATGGCCTTAAAATTTTCGTGATGCAATAATTTCTTTTTTTTATATATTTTATTAATTTTCATAAACATTTACAGAGATTTTGGGTTTCCATTCATTCATTGTTGCACTATTCTCTCTACCCTCCTCCCA